GGGGCCGGGGGGGGTGCGGAGGGACGGGGCGCGAGTGTTCAGCGGACCCAGCCTGATTGCAGGAGGGCCCGGCGCTCGCACAGGTGCTGCTTCGTCTGCAGGAGGAAGGTGCTTCGTTCCTTGCAGTGTTTCGAGCTCCCTGGCCAGCAGCGTTGCGCGTTTTGCGTGGCTTTTCGCCTTTTCGCGCTCCCGAAATGAGGATTTGACGTTGTTGTGGCAGAGCAGCTCCTGCAAGGAAGGGCAGGACCACTTGTCTCTCCCTGGCTTCATTCGAGCCCTTTTCAAAGAATACTTTAGACAGAGTACTGAGAGAGCCCCGTTTTATAAATTGGAAAGCTGGAGCACTGAAAAACACAAAGTTAAGTCAGGATAAATTCAGATATAGGCAAGAAGTATAAATAGATTGTCTGAAGCCTGTTGGCCATTTTACTGTTTTGTGTGCTGGCATCAGTCTGTCCCAAAGGTTTCTGTATGGTTTCTCAGCCTTTATTATTGGCCGGTTTACATGAGTGTGGTGGGTTGACTTTGGGTGGCTGCCAGATCCTCAGCCAGGTGCTCTCTCAGTCTCCTTAGCAGGACAGGGGGACAAAATAAGATGAAACAAGTCATGGGAGAGACAGGGAGATCAATTCCAAGTTGCCATCCTAGGCAAAACATACACAACTTGGAGGAAACTAATTTACTTTATTGCTAATTTAAAGAAAGCGGGGGTCGAATGGTGAAAAAGAAAGATTAAAACACCTTTCCCAGCCTCCCTTCTTCCCTCTTAGGCTCTACCTTCCCTATGACCAAGCAGTGCAGGAAGGTGGGGAATGGGGATTGCAGATGGAACATAACAGCTCTTCTCTGCTGCTCCCTCCTCCTCACACTCTTCCCCTGTCCCAGTGTGGGCTGCCTTCCATGGGATACAGTCTTTCATTAACTGCTCCAGCGGGGGTTCCTCCCACACACTGCAGTTGTTGATGAACTGCTGCAGCATGTGTCTTTCCACGGGCTGCAGGTCCCACCAGAAAACCTGCTCCAGCATGGGCTCCCCACAGGCTGCAGCTCCCTTCAGGGCATCTCCACCTACTGTGCGTTGTGGTCCCCCCTGGGATGCAGGTGGGTATGTGCAGGTTGTCTATGGCCTGCAGGGATATGGCCTGCTTCACCATGGTCTTCCTCCAGGGCCATCTCTGCTCCAGTGCCTGTAGCACCTCCTCCCTTCCTTCTCTCACCTTGGTGTCTGCAGAGCTGTTTATCACACTTTTTTCTCCTCACTCCTCCGTCTCACGTACTGCTGTGCAGCCTTTTCTCTTCTTTCTTTGATAAGTTTTCCCTGAGGTGCCACCGTCATGTCTGAAGGGTTCAGCTGTCTCCTGTTGTGGGTCCGTTGGAGGTGTCCAGCACAGGGCAGCCCCGGGCTTCTTTCAGAGGCTGCCCCTGCAGCCCCCCACTGCCAGCACTTGGACACATAAACTGAATACACTAAGATACTGTTGTAATAAAAGACTTTAAAGTTAGTTGAAATAATTTTAAAAAGAGATATGGTAAGAT